TCATTTCTCTCTCTCTCTCTCTCTCTCTCTCTCTCTCTCTCTTTCTCGATCTCTCCTTTCCTCCCCCCCTCCACCCACCCACACTGCCGCCTTTTCCTGGATCCCTTTGATCTCTCTTGCGGCACCGCCTCCCAGAAGGTATATCCCGCAAAGCGGGTCTTTTGGAAACGGTCCTTCCAAGCGCCCATTTTTACCTTATCTCGGTTTTAAAGGTGATGTGATTTGGAGAAGGACAGACAAACAACAACCTGAAGGTGAAACCACGCGCTGAATGCAATAAGGAAAGAACTGCACATGATTCACTGCGCCAGCTCCACTCGGGCGAGCAAGGAGGGGGCGTCTCTACACCCCCGGCGGCCGAGCCCCGCAGAAGGGGCCCGCCAGCCTCAAACTTTCAGTCCGACTTCGGCCCACGGGGGGACCGTTTTGAGGACCCGGACTGCAGCGAGGCCGGAGAAATAGCCCCCTTTTTCTTTTTGCCCTCCCTCTTCAATGTATAGGTGCATGACTTCCCCCAGCCGGTAGAATGGTCTGTTCTATATTAAATGCACACACTGTCTACTATTGTCTCATCAGCACAAAGTTCTTGTGTAATGCGGGGACAGACTAAATGGCCAAAAATGAGTCACATAAAAACAATTATTCCACTAATAGGACTGATTCATTAACGGGTCTGTTATTCATTTCAGCTTCTTACCAAACAACTAAACAGTAGCTATTATCAAACGCTTATTACATATATTCCCTATGTACACAAACTCTTACACACCCCTAGTATATATATAATGAGATAATTATCGATATAGTTAATCCCGTATTTCAACTTTTAAACAAAAAATGTGATCACATCAGGTGGGATTGTTTCAATCCCATTTTATTAAACGATGCTTGTTCTTAATTCCACAGTACTTGAACATGTTTATATTAAAGGCCATTTGATTTATTAAGTTCTATGCAAGGAAAGTAATGCAGAAAAATGAATTCTACAACCACTGTCTTTATTTTACTACATATGACTTAGATTTTCAGCATGTGTGCACACATATAGAAAGTATTAAATTATTTTAAGTGGCAGTCTTTTATGTCCTTGCGTGTCTGTATATGCATGTGTTATGTACAATTATAGATATAAATGTATTCAGATATATGGGCACACATACTAAAATATATATTATTCATACTGTCTTCCTATTCATATTCCAGATTTAAATCATATTTAAATAATGTGATTTTATAATATGGAGTTGTCTGAAGTATGTTTATATGTACACAGTTGTATCATATGACAGTTTTATGTGGTGTTTTGAAGTGGCAACATTCCTCAAGTGAAGTGTTACTTGTATAGAAAATGTGCAATATTCCAGGGACCTCCTAGAGGTATATACCATTTTTAAATAAAACAACACCAAATAAGATAAAAATGTGGCATATCTCTGAACAAAACACACACACACAAATACACACACACACACACACACATATATATATATATGCATACATACATGTCAAGGACTATACAGTATATATATTCCTCGACTTACAACAGTTTGTTTATTGACTGAAGTTACAACGCCACTGAAAAAGTGACATGACAATTTTTCACATTTATGACTGCTGCAGCATTCCCATGATAACATGATTTACATTTGGATGCGTGACAACTGATTCATGTTTATGATGGTTGCATTATCCTGGAGTCATGTGATCATCTTTTGCAAACTTTCGACAAACAAAGTCAATGGGGAAGCCAGATTCACTTAACAACTGTGTTACTAATTTAACAGCTACACTCATTCACTTAACAAATGTGGCAGGAAAAATCATAAAATGGGACAACAAAACTCCCTTAACAAATTGCTCACTTAGCAACATAAATTCTGGGCTCAATTGTGGTCATAAGTCAAGGACCGCCTGTACATACTTTTCAAATAAACACTCTAATTGACTTCAATATAAACCTTAAATGGACCTAAAAATCCATACCCTGCATTTTCTATCATCTCATTTAATGAGCATAAAGTATTACTTACTTATGGGCTTCTAAAAATTTTTTTGCTTTTTGTCTTCATCCAGTCAGATCACTGATGGTGTAAGTGGCAGCACAGAACTTTGAACGAAGGCTGACACTATCTTCCTTCCAAAGATCTTTCCAGCAGTCCTTATCCAACCATGTTTATTATTACTAAGCAGTTAAAAGGAACACACTGTCCACATTTCTTCACTGTACTTTTTTGCGGCCAATTAATTCAAGGACAGCTCTTGTTGCAATTTAAATGCTTACCTAGCATTGTGGTATTTTGTGTGTGAGAGAAGTTTGATAGTGCTTCTAAGACGATAGTGTTGAGACCATTCTCCAAATATTCCCCCATTTTGCAACAGGCTGTGTTGCAAACAACTGGTCTGCTTCAACTGAAACTTAATAAGTATTTAGGAGCATTTGGGGATAAGAAGGGAGAGAAGAGCAAATAGGGAAAGTTTGCAGTTGAGAATACATAGAGAGGGAGTAGAGGGAGAGAGAGAGAGATGCTGTGTGGGATACATCATGTGTTCTAATTTGAATAACAAGCATGTTAAAGATCATTGACAAATGTTGCATTCAGCACAAATGTCTGAGTGGGAATCTTTGTAGCTATGCACTCCGAATCAATATGGAGCTTAAAATACCATTTCTACATATTATGTATTCAGGGAGGAGGACTGACTGGGCAGGATTTTGTGTCACACTTTTCAAAAGATCCTCCATTTATATTCAAAGAGCCAGTTTGTTGTGGTGATTGGAGGCATCATGTCAGAAATGGCAAAAAGTGTGAGTTCTAGTCCTGCCTTAGGCACAAATCCAACTGGGTGACTTTCCACTAATCACTCTCACTTGAAGAAGGCAATGGCTACTGACTCAAAGGCACACACACAATCCCCCCCACACACACACACACACTATCCCTCAAAGGTTTCATATTTTATTTTCACTTTTGCATTGCCATATATGGGAATGAGAACCTCACTATTCTGGACTGAAGTTTTGCGATTGTGCTGACATGCAGACAACAACACATATGTACACTTGTTCTTTGTGTCCTGGTCAGTGCACATGTGAAGACCTCATGGCAATGCAACAGAACACAATGTTGCTAGCTTCAGGGCAAGGTTTCTTTAACTTGTACATATTTTAATCTGGTGTTTTTTATTTTAAACTTTATATCGTATAACATGCCTTGTTTTAATTGTGATGCTTCTGACCCAAATAAATGCTTTTGCATAAAACAAAATCAAGATTTTATATATATTGCCACTTACTGAATTGTCCCTTCCCCGGGTGTTTCAACTGTTGTGGCATGCTCAGCAACATGGCATTTCTTGGCTTGGATATCCAAAGCATCCTTTGTGCTTCAGCTTTAATGGACAGGACTTGACACTGTGTTAAGGAGACTAATAAGTTCCATGTGGGGAAAATTGACAAGTTGAATCAAAAGTATGTAGGGTATTCAAGCTTCTCCATCCTGTGTGATTATCATGACTGACTTTCATTTGGAGGGTCGCTTTAGGTCCTTAATTATATTGGCAGAAGAAAAAAATTATTTTAGATAGCGTATCACTAATACACACTCATGCTCCCATGAGGTTAAACAACCTGTTTGCAACAGCACAAAAATCAGAGGAACGTCAGGCACATTTATTAGAAAAGAATACATGTCAACTCAGAGGTAACTCTATTGACCTCAGTGGGGTATAGTCATTGTATGGTCTTCGAAAGCTGAAATATTTTGATATAGTTCGATAATATTATTTGTTAATAAGGTTATCTGAGGGACCATCTCTCTTGCCAGTCACATCTACCTGATCCATCAGGGCAGGGAGGCAGGGAATGCTGCGGGTCCCATCTCCGAGGCAGATACACCTGGTGGGACCTAGAAGAAGGGCCTTCTCCATGGTGGCTCCCTCTCTCTGGAACATCATTTCCCCAGAGATTAGAACGGCTGCCATTCTAACACTCTTCCAGGAGGCACTGAAGACTTGATTCTGCCAGGGGGCCTGGGGAACCCAGAGCGGGATGGAGCCCATTAAATGGCTTGCTGCTGTCGCCGGGGTGGGGGGTGATTTTATTATATTATACTATATTAATTTATTTGATTCTTTGTATTAGTTTTATTGTTTTAAATGAGGTTTTATATTCTGTAAGATGCCTTGAGTTGCCATGGGCGAATAGGTGGCAATATAAATTCAATAAATAAATAAATAAATAGTATATATATTATGCACATATAAAAGGTAATACTGGTAATATTGCCTAGTGAACATACTGTAAGTAAGCATACAATAGACTGCAGTGTAAAGCTGGAATATTAACCTTTTAATTTTTCTTCACAAAGAAAAGACACCCTTATAAGGACATTATTGAGAACAACCCCACTGACATCTGCCTATTTGTGTACAAAGATCAAATCTCATTCTGTGAAGCAAAATGGCATAGTGATAATTTTATAAAATTTCAGCCTTTGTTTTTTATTCTGATGAATTGTCCGTTTTCTTGCTTCAGAAAATGAAATTATAAAATCAGTCAAAAAGTTAATTCAAAAAGAAAATGATATTAGTATCTCTTTTGATTAATCCTCTCTGAAAATGCTGTGTCACAGATCATATTGCAAAACTCTAATTTGAAATTATTTTGTTTAATTTTAACACTAAATATGGAAATGTCTGATGTTAATATCTCAATATACAATTTACTACTTATATCTTATAATTTAGCTTAATCCAAGATGTAAAATATTTACTTTTCTTTAAGTGGAATAAATTATTTGTTCAATATTTTGAATATTTTTAAAAGCATAAAAGTGGTATTTTGATTAAAATCAAGGCAGTGACTGACATGCATAATTCATCCTTAGGAATTATTGGTGAAAGTTAAGATAGACATTGTGGGCAAGCCTGAAAAACAATATATAACAACTTCGGAGGGAGGAAAGTTATTTATTTCAAACTATGTCCAGCTCAATTTATTGAATTTACTATGTAGAGCTGCAGTATTACTTTTAGAGCAAGCCTGTTCATGCACTCCTAAAATTTTCCAAGTGGCAATTCTTGTAAAAAATCTCCTATGAAGATGATCCACAACATCTTTTAAAAACAAGCCATTGCAATAGTTTCATTTTCTTCTCTTTCAATTTTGTGCAAGGTGCAGAACAAATGGCAGACATTTAATACATGCTGGTCTAATTCTTGGCTGAAACTATATATTATAAAAGCAAGCCTCACAGATTTCTTGCTAACATCTGCAATTTACAGATAGAAAATATTAATACCATTATGATCCTCCTGGAGGTTCATTCACCCCTTCTTTTTTTAAAAAAAAATCTTACTTAGTTGGAAGATAAACATGGCTAAATTATATTTAAGAAAATATGGTTCATTTGCTGTCAACATGATGCATTTTATTCAGTTACAAAGAAATCTCTGGCAGAATGGTCTATATCACACACACAAAAATGAATACTTTTTTGTAATCATGAGGTGCTACAGCTACTTAGAACAAGCACAAGAACAATTCCTTCATTTCCTGCGTAGTTTTGCATACTGATGCTCTTTGCCATTACCAGTTTTGGGTCAAGCTTGTCACACATAAATTCAGCAAATGGAAAAGAATGTTTTTTCTTCCCAGTGTACAAATATAAAGTAAGTTTTCAACCTTGTTTCCAGACTTTTATGCAACTATTGTTCATGACCGCACAATGGATTTTAGGAGTTCACAAGAAAACCAGCTACAATTTTATATTTGCTTA